TGGATATGAAAATAAAAAAATAACATAAATATAATCAAGCTAGATCATGATCTAATGAGTTATAAATATTTGAATATCTCAAAATAGTACAATAATAAGAATATAACATAATCTAATATTATAATTTGAAGATTTCAAGATAATATAATATAATCTAATATTGAAAACAATATAATAATTAGAATATAACAATAGAGAAGATAACAAATAATATCTAATATCTAAATAATAATAGCAGAGAATATATAAAAATGTTGATATAGATTAAAAAGTTCACAATATAATTATGATTCTAAAGAAACCTTATGTATATGGGTTTATATAAAAGAAGTAAAGTTAGAGCAGAAGGGACAGCTAGAGAGACCCAAGGAAAAAGTAAGAAATGGTAGAGATCCAAGTTGACTGAAATTCATAAAGATAAGTTCACCTTCTCTTAAACTTTAGAGATGCTTGTATATTGTAAAAGGTTTCAAAAAGTCAAGTCTTAAAGCTTGAGCCTTAAATTATCTCATTGCCGAATAAGGGACCTTAGCACTTTAAGAGTACAAGCCTTTTTGCTTGTGAGCTTGATTTGAATCCTCCACTAACTACCCTATGGATTACAATTCTCTTGTCTCGTTATGATGGCATATGATGTTCATCTTATTATGATCTCTGGTAGATTTTTTATCTCGATGTGATCTCATCTTGAATCCTCCCTACTATTGATTCCTCTGTCTTCATGTGCATGATTCCATAACTAGAGATAGCTATTCACTCTCCTGGAAAATAAGGCATGGGCATTTACATGCATTCAATCTTATCACATCAACAATTATTGATTAATAGTTTAATAGCCTCACGATATTAACTCGTTATGAAAGCACATGAAGACTGAGAATCTTTGTATCATATTTGAATTTAGAGATATACTCCATTCATTTTATTTATAAGAGAAACTATTACTTCTTATTTTTTTATATAAGCAAAATCACATATTTCAATAAGCATTCATTACACATTTCCTAAAGTCACTCCTCATAATTTATATTAATGACAAATAATTAATACATGATTATGTTGATTAACATAGGATATTTTAGTTTAATTTTTTTATTTTCAAATATAATTATTATGATTAACCAACTTTCTTAAACTGTGTGATATAATTTTTTCTTTTATATATAAAAATGGAGAGAGTATCATGTGAGAATATTCATGAAAAATTCCATGAAAAGAAATTTCAAGATATAGACCTCAGGTCAGTGTTTATTGATCTTTTATTGTGAGGGCCTTTAATATCACTGAAATTGTCTGATGCTTTAAAATTTTAACGTTCTTGCAAATTTATATCCATTTAATGCTTAAGACTTTCAAAGTCCTTACAATTTTACAAGTTAATTAATTTATTATCCCATATAGCAATAAATTATTACAGGTATATAGTTTTAAAATTATTCTCTACATGAGACTGTCAGAGTCCCTGCAGGTTTATAAGTTAATTAAATTATCCTAAAAATAAAAGGTTTTTCTAAAAATAAATAAAATAAAATAAATCATATTTGGAAGATGGATTTTAGGATACATGGAATTTTCATAAATCTTATCAAAATATTTTCCCAAATTGTTTCTTAGAATTTTGTTACAAACAAAGAAATAACATATTTTCATAAATAAAAACTACAAACCAACATTAAAATTATTTTATAAAAAATTAATAATTAATATTTTCTTTAAAATAAATCTTAATCAAGAGACACACATTTTTACCTTGAATGACTGGATTTTGATCCTTCTAAAAGGTACTTAGGCTCTAGGATTTCATCCTAGGTCAAGTTCAACTAAAAAATAAATAAATTCCCTTTTGTTTTATTACCTTTTTATCTTATTTTTATTAAGGATAGTTAAGATATTTTTAAGCCCATTTAAATTTATATAATTAACTCAAAGTAACTATTCATATGAATAGGTATTATGGGGTACCTAATACTTTCCTCACACACAATCGATTTTCGTATCCTTTTTTTACGTAAATCACATGTTAAAAAAGTTTTCAAAATTATCCTTTAAAATTTTGGTGGCGACTCCCAAATATTTTTATTCAATTTTCCTTCAAGGAAAATTTAGGATCAGGCATGACATATAGGCAAATTTTCATAGTGACATAAAGAGTTAAAGAGAGATACTTAGGGTAAGTAAATAGACAGAGCCAAAAATTGATAAAGTCATTACTTTCATACCTCTTTGATTTCAATTACATAAATTACAAAGCCATAACTTGACAAAGCATAAACAAAAACCATAATAAAGCCAAAAAATGCCATTGCAACTTTTGCCTGCCTCTTTTCATTGACAACTTCACTTTCCTTCTTCGCTATTCTTCTCTTCATCTTCATTGAATCAAAATAAATTGAACCAAGCTTTGCACCTAAGCCTTCACTGAGGTCTTTGCTTCTCAACTTGCAATTTGACTCGTATTATTTATATGATCCACAAGCTTCTTGATCACAACCTTCAACCTCTTTCTCTAATCATCATCATGTCATATGAAATACCCACAACCCCTTTTCTGTCAATTTCTTTGACAACTCATACAAAAACAAAAAATGACATGGGTGAATGTGAAATTATACTAAACTTGGTAATACTTTTGACACCCATGAAATCTTGTTCTTGAGTTGCCTTCACTCCACGTCGTCCATTGAAGATCAACTAATCTGTAATGGCATACTCTCTTTGGACCTTCACATTTGACCTCCCCACTACGTTTCCTTAGCAGCAAAACTTTCTATCCACTAGTTGCGATAGAAGATGAACCTGATTTAGCCATAAGACTCACACTCTACATGAACGAGTTCTTCCAACTGGTTCTTGTGCTCCTTCTCTAACATGAGAGTAGTAGGTGGGGAGTTATATCATCGTTAAGGATGAAGAATTTACTCACACTCACCTATCTAACGGATAAATGAAGGGAGTACTATCTGTCAAAATTTAGTCAGTCTCACATGAGAAATAAATATCTATTCTTTTAAATTTAATGGAAGATATTGGATGTTCTTTTTTTAATAGTTCATGATTTATTTTACATAACCGTATAATATAAGATACGAGATGTTCCTCAGAAAATAGTTTATAATCAATTTGCATCTTTACCCTTTTTAAAAAATCTCCTTCTCTTATATAACTTTTTATTCTCCATCCTTCAAAACTTGTAAAAGAATAAAATAGGAATAAAATAATTAATCATCCACGGTTTTATACAAAGTAATTTATAAAAATATTTTACCAAAAAAAGTAATTTATAAAAATAACTACTATTACTAATTATTGATTAATGATAAGAGAGTAATAATTTATGATAATGATGCTACTAATTATTGATGCAAATCTTTGTTTCCCATAACTATATCGTCCCTTGAGTTAATTGTTGCTTTGATGCAGGACATTAACACTCGCGTTTAATTTAATTTTTCCTTGTGGATTTAAAAAAAAAAATACAAAGAAAGAAAAAAGCCATATCGTTGAACCCCATACAGGTACTCCAAGGAGCACCATATATTACTTTTTCTTTTGAAATTACTAATTCATTACAGCTATTGCTACTTTTTTTTGGTAGACAACAACAACAGTTATTATTATTATTATTATTATGTGGTTGGGATTATACAGCAAGAAGCATGACTTGTCATCTCCACAATTTCCTTTTTTGGCCAAAAAAATCCTAATAACTACTTTACTTTTATTTTAACCTTGAAATTCTCAATGCAAAGAGTGAAGATACTATTATATTTGTCTGTTTGGTAAAAATATCCAAATTGAGATAAATTAAATTTATATTTTAAATTCAAATTAAATCCAAAAAATAGCTTCATTTCCCCAACCAAAAAAGAAAAGCATGAAAAAAGTAGCCCCAAAAAAACTGAATAACTTGCGTTTGAAGTTAAGTGACTTCCAAAGATATGCTTTGGAGGATGTCATTACAATTAGAAAGCTCGACCTCTTTGGTTTTGAGTCATCCTTCTCCTCTCCTTCACAGGAAGCATGAAGCAAGTGCTGAGTATGTCTAACTAAGGAGCCCACTCATCTTGATCATCAAGTAGAAACAACAAAATCATTTGAGTCTTCAAGGCTACACTCTAATGTAATTTTAACACACGACAAACTTACAAACTGATTTTTAGACATGCCAACAAGCCACTGCCATTGACAAAATACGCACTTTCTCTTTCTAATTCTTTTTTAGTTTATGCTTCCTTATTTTTTTTATTTGTACGCATTGCTCTTCGGTTGGCGGCAACGGTATCCTACTAATTTCATCCAGTAATAAATTGGGAGCCATTCCAGCATTTAACCATCAATTTCCAAGCAAAGCAAGAAGCTGAGTAACCAAAAAGCTTATAGATTAAACGATTAAGGTACGTTTTTGTCCTTAAACTATTCTACAAAAAACTAGTGTTATAAACTATTTCTCATAATAATTTCATCCCTAAAATAATTAAAAGATAACATATTTGTCATTTAATTTTAAATACTTCAAAATCGATTGTTAAAAACGCTAATTAGAACTTAAGTTTGATCAGAAAGTACTACTTATTATACTATGTAAATCTAATTTAAGATGCATTTTTACTCCTAAATTATTTTTCGAGGAGCACTCAATATCCTAAACTATTTGTGTCATAGCAATTTCACCTCCAAAATAATTAAAATGTAGCAAAAATGCATCTTAATTTGGATTTACTTGCTATGATAGGTGACATTTTCAATCAAGCTAAAGTCTCAATCAACATTTTTAACAATTAACGTTAGGATATTTAAGGTTTGGAACAAATATGCTATGTTTTAATTACTTTAGGAACAAAAGTGCTACAACCAATAATTTAGGACATTAGATACTCTTCAAAGAATAGTTATGTGATAAAAATGCACCTTAACCCTAGATTAAAGCTCTTGATGATTAAAATCTTCCTAATATCAGAAATTCAAACAATAGACTTTCTTTACATATATATATATATATATATAACAACAGAATTTCTAATTACAAACATAAACGTATACAAATAGTTCTTTACTTTTCTCCTAGACCAATATTGATATGAGCTAATGTTTCCCTTTAGCAAAATTCTACTTACAGGTTGAGTAATGCAGCGAGCAGAGAGAATATATGTATCTAGATTTACAGTAGTAGTATATCAGCATTTATAGCAGCTGTAGGTCCACATTAAATCCTATTGCATCCTGACACCTTGGACTCGGACCATTCGCCACCAAGCAGCATCTAACTGTATCATAAATTAAGAATAAAATATAATACTTTGGAAATGAAATTAGAGGTATTCATAAACCACATCAAATAAAATGCGTGTGCTTTTCTCTTGTATTTCCCTTGTGACTTTGTCTGCTTGTACAGTTTTTCTATTTGATTGAATAAATATTCCCATTTGCACCGGGGGAAAAAAGTGTGTGCGCAGTGCAAGGATTGAATCTTGGTTTGTGGCATTGGCTCTAAAAAAGAAGGCCGGGTTGTGGCTGATCATTGGATAAGACCAGCATCTCCCTGAACCAGGTAAGAAGGAAAACGTAATACCACTTCCATTGATTGTAAAAGCAGTTTTTCCCTTTCATTATTAATTATATAATGCAATCCAGACATCCAATATCAACGATTGTGCAGAACACAGCTTAACTGACATAGATTAGCTTAGTAACTATTAGTGGAAATATTACAATTAAGATGAACTACTTAAAAGTCAGAACAGTCAGAAAGCCACATTGTTTTAAGATACTAACCATTTGAACTTTTGAGCTGTTGTGCATTTTGAATAGTATCAATGTGAGCAGCGTTAAACATTTTGTAGAGATGTGATCGGTATTCCGCGTTTCAGAAGAGACTTGTAAGCTGGACTTCTTGACCATTCATCAATTTCCCGAGCACGTAGTACAGGCACAGGATGAGAAAGCTGCCTTGTTTGAGCATTCCTGATAAATGAGAGGAAAAGAGAGTTCACACATAAGCTTCCAAATGAAAAAGTTGACAGCCCGACCACTAAGAAAGTTGTGACGAACCTTAGATACCACCCAACGGGGCTGGAAGAAGCTTTATCATAAGAGCGTGCTTGCTCCAAGAACGCATCCACATTTAGTTGATCAGCCATAGACGGGCATCCTCCAGCTAATTTCATCAGAACAGAGATGACAATCTCTTGTAGGGTTGGGAAATGGAAACTTTATCAATATAGAATACAGAAATTGTCCAATTGCATTTACTTTGAATCTCAACATCTGTATACCTTAGGGTCTTGAGCAACAAGAAGAGCTGCACGATCACAGGTCAACTCAGCTGCTCGAAGCCAGCGGAATAACTGCTCTTCCAGAGTCCGAGCTATTAAGCCACCTATGCCTACAATAAATTAAACCAGTTGTGAGAGAATATTGTAGCAGAATTGAATAGATCCAGCAACCAAAGACAGTTTGCTCTCACCAGTCAAACTGAGAGTTATCAATGCTAGATATAAATATATTCTTGAAGAACTACAAAGGAGGTAAATATGGTATCATAATCACAGACAATGCTCCTGGCTTATCATAATCCATCGATTGTAATATTAACATGGGTTCGATCCTCATGTTAGTCAATAGAGAGCCAGATAGACAATGTTTCTCCAACCATGATTATCTAACATAACTAACTGCTCAAATAAAATTTATCTTGGGCGGAGCAACTCTCGAGTGTTAGTTCTACAATCCAAAATCATTTATGCATTTCACTTATACTGGTGTTACATACCATGAACCAAAAGATACACAAGACAAATCATAGTATATATGCGCACAAACACGAAAAAGGAAAAAGAAAAAAAATAAAGCTCCATGCCTACCAGGTACGGTATAGGCTCCAAGGGTTAGAATGTTCGCATATGTTAGCCACACACCATGATCACATTTTAGGTGGCCTAGCTCATGAGCCAAAACAGCCTGTTAAAGCAAACTGATAAAAGATTAATAATGATAAATTCCCCAAAAAAAGGGGCAAGACATCAAAATTGTTGACTCGTTTAAATCAAATTGATAGGTTGTATTGGAAAGAAATAATATATATATATATCATGAATAGAAGTCAACGTGTGTATCTAATACCCATGCACCTCAAAGTCAACCACTTAAATGCTATCACTTATAGACCATGCAGAATAGATGAGAAATATGAGGCGTAAGAGTGAAACTATTTGCAGGTTGGTTCACAAAACTGATAATGAAAAACAACAAAGAAATAAATAAGAACCTGAAACTCTTCTTTAGTTAGCAGCTCCACAAGGCTAGTATGAACAACAACAAATGGCCGTTTACCACTTATAGCTAGTGTATATGCATTAGGCACAGGACTCTGCCGGACATACAGATCAGGAGCATCAACATTTAATATTTCTGCAGCTTCCACCATTAACTGGTGAAGACCAGGAAGCTGATACAGCAAGGAAAAAAGGAGTCCAATTACTTCTCTGAAGTTGATAATAGATGACAGTAACTCAGTGATCACAATGGAACTACATGTCAATCCAAGTTACAGATGGGAGAACTCAACTTCACAAATTTGGTTGAATTTCATACTGGAACAACTGAAGAGAGTATGGATTTGAGTTAAATTTCGCCATGAAATCAAACTTAGCAGAAGTAGCAGAAGCAGCAGATCTCATGTGCCGATATTCGTCTTAGATATTTAATAAGAAGAAGCATTGATAAGATTCTATTTAGAGAGACATGTCTAATTTAAAGAACAATTACACAGAAGAGCATGCATAGGTTTTTTTTTTTTTTTTTCTTTTTTGGTTCATAACAAGCATATACATGTAGATATGCAAATTTCAATATGTATACCTGCACATTAGAACTATGAATGCTTATTGGTCCTTTGCATTTACCAGAAGAGGAATATAACAATTAGCATTTAAATGACAGGCGTGGACAATGAGTCACAGGCATATGCATGAATCAAATATACTTGTCAACATAAAATATTCCCAGGTAGTCCTCAATGAGAATTTTGTTGACAGGTGTCATGGATACCTGGCTCTCAGAAACAAGAACAGATGTCCCTATATTCTCAAGAAGCATGATCTGCTCTGCTACTGTTCCTGCAGTTCGTATTGGAGGAACTATATCATGAGTAATCTAACCAGTTTACGGTTAAAGGTCACCCATATGTAGCCGTGAACAAAATCGTAAAAAACAACTGAAACAATAACTTCGTATATGAAAATATGTAAGTGGCATAAATTCATAATTAGCACACCACGGGCATCATTTTGTATCTTATATGACCAGTTGGAGACCATTAAATATGTCAAATGATATGAAAGCCACTATTAATAGTTGAAAACTTTCCACACATGACGAGAGTCCTTGTGTGCGGTCACAGGCCAATAATTCACCCAAGCCCTTGTAATCCGTTAATAATGGCTCTGGATGAAGTAGAAATATTATCAATAAGAGGATCGAAGATGCAGAGGTGGTTGTTTCTTCTAACAAGAATAAATTTCCCTCCAGATGTTATCATTTGATTCCACGCTCTATTAAGGAAACCGAGGATAATTTTAAGGAAAGACCTGAAAAATTTCCACTTTTGATTGTCACAGAATAAGAGAACTTCAAAATTAAAAAAATAAAAAATAAAAAAATGTTGAGATCCGTTTGACTATCTGTTACTACTATAGTAACGAGAGAGCATCTTGTAATTCTCGGACGCATCTTGACAAGCTCAAGCTTTCAAGTACGCAGCAATATAAAACAGTCTAGCGGTGAAACGAAGTAGCGAACTAAGATATGGCGTCTTTGTATTACCAAGAAGAGCCTTTCCCAGTTCGTTCAATCCTGGTATTGCTCTCAGTATCACCGTGTTCTGGAGAATTTCAAATAAAAATCAAACCACAAAGTATCAGTTTCAGCTCTTGGAACAAACAATTCCGGAAGAAACAACAGCTTTGAAATTTAAAAAAAAAAAAAAAGCACTTCAAAATTCAACTTTCTGAAAAGGTGGGGGGTCACTCTTTCAACGACCAGAAAACCAATAACCGGGAACGGTCCCCGTAAATACGGAAGATGGTGAAAATTGAAATCATCCACACCTGTTGATCAAGAGGGTGACGAAAATCATCGGCATCCAGGTTTCCGAAGGTAACAGAAGCTGCTCTGCAAACAGTAATTCCAACTCTCCGGCTTCTCTGAGTCTTTCCGAATCTAAGGGTCGAACAAGAATTGAACTTGAATCGATCCGAAGCTAAGAAGCTGAAGGTGAGAGAATTTGGCTTCCGAAAGAAGCAGAAACTGGAAAAAGGCATGGACGCCATTAAAGAAGAAGCAAAGCTGCAGGAGTGCAGGTTAGCGCCAGAATGGTGTTTTCTGCTCTAAAGGCTAAATAGAGCACGAGATATTTGGGTCGTTAGTTTGTTTGCTGTAAACGCAACGAGCTTTGTGGCCAGAACCCGTACCTGTGGTACCCGTCTCCCGCCACTTCTTTTTCCTGTTGACTTCGGCTTGGAATTATACAATACAAGCCCGGGCACGTTGCTCGGAACCAGAACATGCCGCGTCACAACTTATTTTATATTATTTTTTTGGGAGAAACACAAATGAAAAAATTAATTAATTTAAATAAAGTCTCAAATGTCAAAAATTATAAATTTACAAATTTCATTTTCAATTTTACAATTTTATTATAATCACTTTATAATTTATTTTTTAAATTTTAATATAATTAAAAAATAAATAAATTTAACATTTAAAATTTAATTTAAATTAATTGATTTAGAAGGATTTTTTGTTGTTCTCTCTGTTTTTTTTAATAAAATTCACATTTGCTTTTCATTTACAATTACATCAGACTTTTTTGTTTGATTTTTTATTTCCATTACCACTTTTATCTCGAGCTCGAGAAAATCTTGTTGGACCTTATTTCAAGCAAGAGACGACAAGATCAATCATCGAGGATTATATTAATCAGTATTAAACATTTGTATTGTTGGCAACAAACAGAAAAAAAAAAGAAGATATAACCAATCGTTTTGATGAGCATAAGATAGTTCAGGAAGTCAACAACAACAACAACAACAACAAGTCTTTATCCTACTAAGTAGGATCGACTACACAGATTATAAGACGCCATTATACTCTATCATTTATCAAGCTTTTTAAAAATATTATTAATTAAAAAATCGCGTTCAATAACTTTTAAGAATTTTCTCTTAGGCCTTCCTCTTTCCCTTTTAATCGAACTCAAAGTTATATATTTCACTCTTTTCACTGGTGCCTCCCTTAGTCTTCTTTGTACATGTCCAAACCATCTCAACCGATTTTCTACCAAAAAGTCAATAAAAGTTTATTTTGTTTCTTGCGTTTTTTTGATGGTTGTACATACATAAAAGATAAAGGCTTTATCGGGATAATTGCCCCACAAAAGCTACAATACAAAGCATCTTCAGGGCCGGTCACTCACTATAATATCCAGAAGGGTTTCTCAACACCCTACCGTAACTCACCTGAGATGATACGATATTCTGACTAATTTCCAAGCTTACGCTTCAAGGAAAATCTGCCAAAAGCACACATCAAGCGCACCAAAAGTCCAAAACCTATGTTCTAAATTATATTATTTCATAACCCCTCGTGGGCCTAAGCTGCTGGGCCCGCTTGTTCACATAGGTCCAACAGATCCAGGGTCTGCAAAATTAAACCACGCACACCATACCACCCACCAAAATAGGGTGAGGAAGAGAGAAACCAACAATAAGATAATAATTGTGCAAAATAGTTTCTTATGATGAGAACAAGGAAAATCCATGCTTCTGGAACTGACAGCTCAAGACGAAACTTGGGACCATCATAATGATGTAAAACAGGCCTGAATGAATCTTCTTCCAACGCCTTGCAGAGTTTCCTCACACGAATCCTTACCTATATATCAACACAAAGAACAAAGTCAACTATCTATTAAACATCTTAAACTAATCCATTCCAACGGCCTAGATTCTACCTGAGCAGGAAATCTTGACTCGCCTTTGTATTTTTTATCCTCCCATGCAGTAGGATCAATGTTAGAGCCTCCAAAACTTGCTGCCTGCGAAGAAGTCTTTTCAAAGTAAGTGAATAAACTAAATATCTATTTGTTTGTCATCACCTTTCTACCCCTTCCATTTCATATTTATTTATGGCACTGAATAGAGAGGCTATGATAATTTCTGCAAAGCATGAAGCATAATTTAATAATACAAGCCACCACAAACATTAAATATAACACAATTCAATATAACTCCAATTAAAGATAACCACATCAAAAAGACCGTGCAACTGATGAGCAGTATAGTTATACAGAAAGAGAGGCAGCCCTGGTGTAATTGCTCGAACAGAATCGCGATACCTCAAAGGCAAACCTATCGACTAATCATGTCAGTCCTGAAGATATACTTTTTTGTAATCCTCAAAATAGAAAGTAGGCCACATTTAATCAGCACAAAGTATGATATGCTATCCATTCCAGATTAAGTTTTACAATGATTGTGTTAAATAATTACAATCTTAAAACACAAAAAATTTCACCAACCAAGCTCTCATCAATTTTCTTTAGTGCACCGCACACTATTTCCTCCTTGATCTCCAGAAAATACATTGCCCCTTGGTGCAGAGATTGAGATCTAAGAACTGTGGTAAAGTACCCATGCCTTGTACTACGAGACCATAATCAATGGCTTAACGTGTCAACCCTCTTAAAGCAGTAAATACATCCGTTATGTAACCAAAAATAACAAAGGTAAAGAGAAACAACATTCTCATAAACAAGAGGCCATGTCAATCTACAAACTATATCACCTTGATCACTACAAGTTATCGGTAGTGATTGAGTAAAATACACTTACCAAATAGCTGACTCTTCAAATCATCCTGCATCATGTCATTGTTACAGACAAAGATATATCCACCAAGAACCACATTCCGTGACAGTGTTTCTGATGCAGGCAATGTCTTAAACCTTTTGTCAGTTGCATTTGAGTTGACACTATCATTGGTGTTATTGTTAGATTCTTTGTTCAGAACATTGCTACTATACTTGTCACTATTCATATTTCCCACCAAGCTTGCAGTGCTTCTCTGATGCACTGCATTCATATTGTAAATACCTCCATTTCTGAGAGAGCTTTTGCTCACTTTAAGAGTGTCAAATTTGTTATCTTCCTGATATCCAAGTTTATCCCTTGACCTTGTTTCAATTGGACCCTTTGAAAGATCAAGGTTATTCAGATGCTCTCCCTTTAACCTTGTCTGCTCAGCCAATTTAGAAGCAGCCAACAGCCATTCGTGATCCTCCGATGCCTTTGAGTGTCCACAAAGCTCATCTCATTGGCATAAATAAGGTTATCCATTTTTTGAAAACCCACTTAAATTTAAAAGCAGTTCAGAAGTTGTTGAATAAATAAGATCAGCATAAACATAGCAAGTGTCAGTATAAAGAAAATTATTATGGAAAATTGAAAGCAAAGGCATCTTTCTGTTTTTTTTTCTAAATAGGGGGATGGGTAGGGATTGTTGAAGTCAGCAAAAATATTATGGCATAATAAATCAGCAAGTAAAGAATACCAACCTAATACACCAGACAGGAATAACATTTGATGTTTAAATGCCTGGACAAGTGGCATGGAACATTTTGAGATGGGAGATGCGTTGACACACTTACAATCGTTCAATAAAGCATGAATTCACTAATATTCATACAGCACACTTGCAACAATTCCAATTTTAGAGGTAAATTACTGTAATACTGAGGACAAGCAACTACAATCCAATTCATGTATTTAAACTTAGAAAACTTTAAAGTAAGTGAAAAGAAAATAACATTAAGAACTGAAACAGGATTAGCAAACTTTGATTTTCAAGAATTATTATCAATTTTCAAGAAGCTGCGGTCACTGCGTCATTACACATATACGGACTTGAGGTAAAAATCATTCCCGGCAATTACATGGCTTTCGTTCCGCATCTAACGTCATGAAACAATGCAACTATTGGCCATGGTAAACCGACCATAGGTCCCATTTGCATTTTTGGTATTCGATTGGGAAGATTGAAAAGTGAGGTTCAATAATCCACGCAGAATGCAAAACCACAATAAAGGGGAAAAAATCGATTTTTCGAAGCTCAGATTTTATTTCATTTTCCCAGAAACCACGGAACACTAAAACTAAGAAAAATAATGGAGCAAAACAAAAGATATCAGCATCCAACTCTAAAACGAGCATCGTCTCTTCCATGCTAAACCTCAATTAAACCAATTATGTAAAGAATCCTAATTCATGAACTCCGTCAAGATGAACAGGAAGTATGAAGTCGCCCTATAGAACAAAGTCTACGATAATGTAAAGGGAAATTAACTTACTCGACTCAGAAAATAGGCTGGGCAAAAATCCAATTATAGAGTTGATCACAAAAATAAGGCCAACAATTTTGGGAAATTTCAAGAACAATGCTACAACTCCCTAGATTTAGGGATTCAATACTCATAAGAGAAGATGAACAGGGTTGGAGATTAGCCGTTGCCTGCCTGGCTTTGAACCCGAAGGACACGAGAAAGACAGCGCGTTCAGTTTCGAGTAGCTGCAAGTCCATCGTTCCTATAGTTTTATATTCTAGAAATGCCCATAAAATCATGACTGAATTACCACAATTACCACCCATGTTTAGATGTTTTTCCCCCTCATTTTGGACCACTGGGTTGACCCTTGTGTGCCGCACTGAACGTTTGTTACAATGAAATTGTTACTTTTATTTGCAAACGTATGCTGTGCGGGAGTAATTGAGGAAAAATGACAGTCAAATTTTTTAAATTATATAAATGATAACTTAATTTTTTAAAATATTATAATTGAACTAAAATTTTTAAATATTTTTATATTAATAAATTTTAAATTAAAAAGATTATTTTACTCTTATTGATAAATTATAATTTTTTCTTTAATTTTTATAATTTTCTAAATAAAATTTGATATTTTTTTAAATAAAAGTGGTAATTGGAGTTTATTATTTTAAGAATTTATTTTTTAATAATAAAAATTATAGTTGATAAATTATAATTTTTTGTTCTGTTCTTGCAATTTACAGAATAAAAATTATTATTTTTTAAACAAAAGTTATAATTAGGACTTGTTTTTAATAATAAAAATTATATTTAACAAGTTATGATTTATCATTTAACTTTTAAAATTCACAAAATAAAATTTATTGTTTTTAGAGCAAAAGTTGTGATTAGTACTTATTGTTTTTAATAAAGGTAAAATGATATTTTTATTTTAAATTTTATTGACGTAGAAGCCCTTAAGAATTTTAGTAGAATAATAAAATTTTGAAATATCATATTATTATTTATATAATTTAGAAGACCTTGTTGTCATTTTCCTAGCAATTAATCTCCTTAGAAGTGGAAGTGATCCTCATTGGCATAGTGACTTCATGAAATTAGATCAATGTTATATAGGGCTTGGTGTATGTCCTTAGATTTTATGTACAGGAAAACCAATTTTTGTGATCATTATTTGGCTATGAATTTATCTCATAGGTTTGGTGATTTCCACATTTTTAACCAACAATTAGTTTTTTATCAAAAAGTGGTGAATGATGAGAAGTTATTGAATTTTTTATTTTGTAATAAACTCTTCTTGAGTTATGCGTCACTTTTTCATCCCAAAAATTTGCAAACATATGGTCAAAAGAAGCCTGTTTACTACGGTCAAATTTGTGAATGAGTAAATTTTTTCCCCAAAAAAATAATTTAGATAAAGTAATTTTAATAGTAAAATGTGAGATGGCATTTAATTTGTTAATTTTATTTATAAAATATTAATTTCTTAAAAAAAACATCATTTGTACTTTTGGAAAACTGTAAATTTCTTTACTTCTATATGAGAATCAAGTCAAACAAACAGAAAGTGGTTATTCAGTTGGTCTAAAAAAAATAAATTATATTATGTTATCTTAATATCAATGTATTATGTTTAGGTTCCCTAGTTGGAGACCGGGAAAAAAGTAACAGAATCGGTTGTGCTGAGATATTTTGTGCTATTGACTAAGGTTGAAAACTTTGTTAGGAAGAGATTGCTTTCCATTTTTGAGCCAAACGGGGAGCAAACACAGCAATATATTTCAAGGTAAGGAATGAACAACCACCATACGAGAATAGAATAATCCAGACATATCCTAGTTGTAAATCACGCATGACTGATTTTTTACTCCTTTGAATTCGCTGACCTAATCTTATAAAGAGATGTACTTATTTGGTCTGTTCTTCACAAAGGTTGTAAACTCTGGTGTCGCATTCAGAAGAAGACAGAGAAAGAAAAGGCAAGTAATTAAATTATGGCAACTACAAAAGTTCATCATCTTCATAAATCCACAAAGACCCCAACTGCGACTCTGTGCTATGAAGTATCAACAAGTAATGCCAATAGAATATGGAAAAATGGTGCCGTCCTTGAAGATCAGGGCCAACTCTTGTGTTTGCAAGTCGCCTACACCGTCTTCACTTCTAATCTTTTCTACTGCATCCTCAAACCCCTTCGTCTGCCTCGCATTGTTGCAGAGATTCTCGTAAGTACATGTGCATTAATTATTAATTTCATGCATTGAAAGAGTAGTTTTCTCATTTATAATTCATTTCTTTATATAGGCTGGTTTCACTTTAAGTCCTCTTTGTTTGGGACATACCGTAATAGGGAAGACGCTTTTAAATCCAATCGGAGTCCTCAATATCGAAACCTACGCAAATGTTGGGCTCATGTGCTATGTCCTTCTTAGCGGTTTGGAAATGAACTTAGATACCTTTCTACGAATCCGAAAGAAGGCCATAAGCATCGCCATTGCTGGGATTATCGTTCCAGCGGCGATTGGAGCGGGCCTTTTTGCTATGTTACGGCAATTTTATGAAAAATCTGCTGTAGAATCGCATTTCCGTGAGGATGAAAAGTATGTCATTGAAGCTTATTTATTCTGGAGTTTGGCTCTGATCGTCACAGGTTTTCCAGTCCTTGCTCGAATGCTCACTGACCTCAAGCTCCTCAATACCAAGCTAGGCAAAATCACTTTAACTACAGCCATGATTAGCGACACCTGTGGCTGGTTTCTGTTTGTAATATTGATTCCATTTTCCAGTAACGGTGGAAAACCAGTATTGTCGGTGCTAAGCACTTTATTGTTCATCCTTGTCTGCATCTTTGTCGTACGTCCTATCATTAACCGATACATCAATTACAAAACCGACACGGATACATGGGAGACTTCTCAGCTAGCCGGTGTACTGTTGTTGGGCGTAATCGTTTGTTCCTATATTACAGATGCATTTGGCACACACGCCATCGTTGGAGCTTTTGTGTATGGGCTTATTTTACCTAATGGGAAGTTTGCTGATCTGGTGATGGCAAAAGTAGATGATTGTGCTTCTGGGATTATATCGTCGCTTTTCTTCTTCCGTATTGGCTTAACAGTTAACTTGCTGATGGTTGCACCACAAAAATATTGGCCGTTGATGGCTCTGGTTATCGTCTTGCTATTCGTCCCTAAAGTCCTGAGCACCTTGTTAGCTACCTTTTTCTTCAATGCATCCGCTCGAGATGGTGTGGGTATTGGGCTACTTCTCAACACCAAAGGCGTCTTGGCAGTGATAATTCTGAACATAGCCTGGGATAGAAAGGTGTGTTTTTTAAAACTCTTGCTTGATATATTATTCACACAGTGGGTGTGGCAACTTTAACTAATAAGCTCACATGAATCTTGCAGATTTTATCCGTGGTATATTTCACAATTATGCTGTCTGCGGCCTTTCTAATGACTATCTTGGCGCCAATTTTCATTAGCGTCATGTACAACCCAAGAAAGCGCTTTGAGATGTACAAGTTAAGGACTGTCCAGAAGCTAAGGCCTGAGACAGAACTTCGAATCCTTGCTTGTGTCCATAATGTTCGCCAAGCTGCGAGCATGGTTAGCGTCTTAAGAAACTGTAATGCCACCAGAATTTCTCCTATGCAAGTGTTTGGAGTTCGTCTGGTTGAATTTAAGGGCCGCGCCGCCACCCTTTTTGCCACCCATATAGAGCAACCTTCCCACGTCGGATCACCAAGCATGGCCATGTCATCATTGACCGAGTCAGAGAGCATCGCCAGTGCCTTCAACGTTCTAGCAGAGTTGAACCACGCTGTCAGAGTTGATACCACCGATGCTATGTCGGTGTATGAAACTATTCACGAGGATATATATAGCTTGGCCCAGCAAAAACTTACGTCCTTAGTTCTCCTCCCTTTTCACAAGCAAGCAGATGTAGAAGGCGGTCTGGAGACAACAAAAGCTGTTTACAAAGACATTAACATGAATGTTTTGCGAAATCCTCCTTGTTCTGTGGCAACCTTCCTTGATCGTGGTATTGGGTCATCATCCAGAGTCAACATGAGCATTCTAACGCTCTTCGTCGGTGGCCCTGACGATCGTGAAGCCTTGGCTGTTACATGGAGAATGGCCGGGCAACCAGGGATGCAGCTCTCGGTGGTGCGGATTGTTCTGTATGGTGAGGCTACAGATGTATCACTCAAAGACGAAGCTCAGTGGCTATCTTCTGATATAATGGACGAGGAGAAACAAAAGTTGTTAGATGACGAGTATTTAAATTCATTCAGACTCAAGATGGTTCATAATAATGATTTCATTGCATACTCGGAGGAGGAAGTGGGCAGTGGCGAGGAACTAACTTCACTCATGCATGAATTTGCCAAAGATGACTATGACCTGATCATCATTGGACGAGGGAATAATAGGAATTCAGTGGTCTTTTCAAATTTCTTGGAATGGTGCGACAACCCAGAACTCGGAATAATAGGGGACATAGTGGCGTCAAGCAATTTTGGTTCCCAGTCTTCACTGCTTGTTGTACAGCAATATGAGTCTATAGCAATTGAGAGCACTCGATGGCCCAGACAATTGCCCACAAATAGCGATGGCTCTTAGGCCCTTGTTCTGTAACACTTTTTAACATGAACTGTGCTTGCTGGTGATTCGTTAGTGACGAGTTGTTTATTATACAGTTTCAAACTAGATTCTTGCTCTCTCCTGAGGTTTTAATATTTGCCAAGTTTAAACTTTCTAAATCAACTCAATCATGACTCAAATGGGTTCAAATCAAAATTTGAAACAATTGTAGAAACATAGGATACCATTAAAAGAACTTAAAACAATTGAAAATAATTGAAACAGGAAAAATGAGGGACACACCACGGCTCCAGGTATAGAAAATAAAGCATGCTTATACAATAATTTCAGGGTCCAAAATACAACAACTCAGTCATCAAATCACATAGTGTAAGTGTAAATCAAGATATGACCTTAGTTGGCAATCATCATCATAATTACACATAAATCAAAATAAGAATATAGGCTTTATAGTATGAATATAAAAATTCCTAAGCCTTGATGGCTTTTCTTTCATTCATACTGGAGCTAAAGTTCATAAAATATTAAGAGAGAGGGGATGAAAATAATTATTTAATAACCAAGGTACATATATATTATGGAAATGCATGTTAATTGATATTAAAAGACACAATTCACAACTCAACTATATACAACTCCTATCATAATGTTGCAAGAAATCATAACTCTCTTGATCTTATTAGCATGCTCAATGTCACTATATTATCAACCACACAACAACAGCAATATTAAACAATCCAAGCTCATCGCAAATTTAACAACCATGTGACATTATAATGCTATGCATTATAAACACTTCTCTTATATTCTCTTGATACTTTTGATTGAAATCGTGAGCTATTAAATCAAATAAGACTTCACCTGTGTGAATGAACTACCTGAGTTCACCAAATATAAGGAGTAAACTTGGCCAAAGTTCACACCACACTCACTCTTGGACAAACAGGTAAAGATAGCTAGGTTTTAAGTCCTTCAACAAATAATGAAACAAGGGCTAGCCTTCAGATATCAAAAGGTAGTACCACATGGATTACCTACTCTTTTCCTTAAACGAACTCTTGCCAATATGATCATGCAATGAATCATGCTTACACATAAAGCATGTCTAATTTACATTAATATGCCCAGCTAACAATCCAACATATATCATGCCATGAGCATATAAATGTCACCTCATAATTTAAAGGGAAAACATAACATTTGGTCCTTATTATTTTATCGAGTTTTACTTTTAGCCTCTGTAGTTTTCCCCCCAATGATTTCAATCCTTATAAAGACTAAAACAACTAAAAAATGAAAATTATAAGGACTTGAAAAATAAAAATCACCCAATCTTTTTAAAACAAGAATTAAAAGCACTTGTAACAAAAATATAGGAACTAAAAACAAAATCTAATAAAATTTAAAGGATCAAAGATTATTTTTCCCTAATTTGAATTATCATCTCATCATGTATATCCATAAATCATCTCATCGTACTCACACTTGCATATATCTTGATCTCAAGAAACACTAATATGTATGGGATTTTTATCAAGCATTAACATCTCAAATATGATTTCCACCATCATGGAATCACATAGAATTAGTAACTCATGTTATCTTTCCCTATATCAAAATCATATTCATTCAATCATTTGAATCACAAATTAAAATAATTACTCTTCCACATTTTCTCACTTCCCAACCATGTGTCACATAACAATCATCATACCACTTAACTCTCATGTTAAAAATACATTTATTTAGAATTACAAATTAATTAACACACAAATGCACAGAATAAATTTCCTTTAGTTACCTCAAACTTTTAAGTAGTCAAAGGTCTACCTCTTAAATAAATACTCCCAAAGCTTCATCTCAAGTTAAGTTGATGTAGGGATAATTAACCTACAATTAATCATATTCACAATCATTAATATCACCATTTATACTAATTTAGCTTTCTATTTCAGCACTTTAAATACTCAAAGTCCTTATCTCTTACATTTAAGCTTACCCATTAAGATTATTAACTCCCTTTAGCTGATCATTAATAGCATTCAAACCTTCCCAACCACCTCATTAATGTCATTTTTGGGACATAATTGCTCCTCAACCACCAAAAAAGCATACAACCATAAATCATAAGTTTAAATAACTTAAACATTTTCCATTAACTTTATTTAAATCAGTGGGTTCAGACTCATAGCCCATAAGCTAGAAAATCAACTCCTAACAGTAAACCCTAACTCAAAAACTCTTAAGAGAGAAAGAGGAAGATTAAAGCTTGGGAGCTTAATAGGAAGGATTAGAAGTTTTGAATAACTCATAAATGGAGTTCGAGTTATGCCCTAGTAGAGCTCTTGGTTCATTTCATCTCCTTCTTGCTCTAATTCTTTCTTTCTAATTTTGAACTTTCTCATTCTCATTTATTAGAATTTCAAGCCACGCACTGCGGTGTAGCATGTGATACAAAGAGCTCTTCCCATGTTTTTGTCCAACAATTGCTGTAACATCTAGCATGAAGCTACACTTCTTTGTTTTTCTCCCTTTCTTAGATATGAATGACGCAACTTCTCTTTGAATTCGATCCTAGGATTGCAACTACAACCTAACAAACTCATTAACCCTTTCTGACCACACACTACCTTAATTTAGGGGTGTTGGGGATGGAAGATGAAACTTGTAGTGGACTCGTGGTGCCCATGAAATGTAGATGATGAAGAAAATGAAGAAAGGCAAAGAAGAAGCAGGGAAAAAGAAGAGAAAATCATGGATGAGTGAAGGGCATTTTTGGTCATTTCAAGGTATTGAAAAGTCAAGATACTAGGTTAAGAGTTAATGGTTCAACAAGAAGTCAAATCAAAGTCAAACCAATCATAACAAAATAAAATAATTTAAATAAAAACACATTAATTCTCAATACATTTATCTATACCAAGGCTTAATATCTCATACAATATACAATAATAATCATAGTTTAAAACTAATACACAAGACTTGATTCTAACAATAATAAAACATAACATTCCAAATATTCATTCTTACAATCCTTCAATCATTAAACATTATAAAAACTAATAATCATTAGCACCAAAATTTTCATCAACTTCATAGTTTATGCTACCTAAAATAATAAGATCTATTCCAAAATAAGAAATATTATAACAATAAAAAATAAAAAATAATTCATTTATGAATGAAACCGTGCAAATGGGTTTTTGAAATATGATATGTTAATAATATATAATATTAACTTTTTTGCTTATAATAAGTATTTGTTTTAGATTTTAGGATTTTAGGCTGGAGCTACTGACTGTTTCACCTATGCATCACCAACTAATGATTCATGTATATCCATTAGTTGTCCTCGTTTATCCACCCACTCTCACATGTATCTTTTAGTTCTTAAGTTGCCCATCTCATTTTTTTCTTGGATATTTTTAGTTTATTTATCATTTTAGAAGTAAAAGTGTGACATCTCATGTTGACTAATGTAACCTCCCTGAGGTTAAATTACACTTAGCTCTAAATTATGGTAATCCAAAGTTTAACTCACAAGAATTACCAAATTGTAGGGTTTCTAAATGAATTTCTCAAAATCTATTTCAAGGAATCTCAATTTTTAAACATTCAAATCTCAAACATATTTTAAGGACTCCAAATCAAGGTTTTGAAAACAAAGTGAAAACTTAGAAATCAATTGGGACCTAAATAAGGATTTTTAAAACTCAAAACAGATTTTTACACTAATTTTAACATGTGCACCACGGCTTACAGTTCGTGCGCCGCGACGTGTCTTCTCTGTGCCATGCGCCATGGCACATTGTATGAAATTTGACAGATCAGTGCTGTCATTTGACAACACAAGGAGCAAACTTTTGACGCGTCCCAAATCTTTGTTTGACGCTCGATTAAGGTGGTTTTAATATCTACATGAAGCTTTCTCCTAGCTCTAGATAATGATACTAGTTTTACACTCAAATTCATTTTCTATCAAAAGCTGGACACTAAAATTCATTTTAACACATTTTCACAAAATTTCCTAATAAGGTGTCCCAACTCAACTACAAGTGTCAATAGCCTACACTAACCATCTAACCACACTTAATGGACTTTTGTGGACTCATGCAACACACCACACACAACCAAAAACACTTGTTTCACAAAATCACCACTCAACCCTAATTTTTATAAAACATAGAGAGGGGGGAAAAATTGCACAAAACCAACCATTTCATTCATATTTCTCAAAAAATACATATGTTCCTACTTGCACAAGTATTTTGGCTTTATCTACGAGTTCATAACAAAAACTCACTAACACAGGGCATAAAATACACTAGTTAAACAAAAAATCATGCAAGTAGTAAACTAATCATGACAATTGTTCATAGTTGGCAAATACATTAACAATTGCACATGTAAACAACTAAAGAGAGACAAAAGAGGATTTACTCCACAAATCCTAAGTCTCTGTGTGTTTTCTCCAACTTGGATCCAATGAGCTAATCCCTGAAAATATTGAGAATTGAGGGGTGAGTACAATCACTCAGTAACCAAGTTTCACTTAACCCTTACAGTTACATATTAATTGTAAATAGATGCAAAAAGGCACATAACACATATATCACATAGTATTGGGCCACGGTTCACAAAATTAATAACTATATGACTGGGCTTGCCACAAAACACTAGATCATATTATTTTCAAAAACATAACTCAATGTTGTAAAAATAACAACCATGCACCCTTAACACGTGCCGAATTATAATACTAACAACCATGTAGCCGCGCTTATATGCATGATCATGTGCCAATCTTATATCTTCCTGTTACTTCCAACACAAAACTGCTGGCTATCACATATCCATGTCCTTCACGGACTAACCCAGCCTTCTACTTGTGAGGAGCTATCGGGCTAGGATTAACTCATTCACTTATGTAATCTGGTTTTCCCCTATACTAACAACCATGGGGTGTCATACCCCTAATCTAGCCTCCTTATGAACTGGTGAAGACTAGTTAGGTTCGAGTCCCTCATAAAACAAGTGGGACAGCCCGAATCAATCATGAAACAAGGGCTACCTCCTGATTTCAACAATCGGTGCTAAGGTTAGTTCCCGATTCCAACAGTTACTGCTAATACCATGTGAATTTTCAATCAAATTACTCCTCTCCCTAGGTGAACTCTCACAAATGATCATGTCATGCACATTTCACATATAATATGCATTTCAACATTCGTTACTCAACACATGACTCTTATAACATGTATACTTCACATTTTAACATATAATTTATCAAAATTCTCCACCTGCAGTAATAAATCATAATTAATTTTATAAAACATCAAGGGTGGTAGAATCAAGGTTTTCTTTCTCAAAACCATTTCATACTCAAGCATTTGCCAATATGCATCATCAAATTAACTCACAAATTATATTTTATAATACAATTAACATTTAACTATAAAAATTAAGTTTTTTTTCGGTTACCTCAAATCTTTGAGAGGTCAAAGGTTTACCCCTCACTATAGCAACTTCCCAAAGCTTCAACAAGCTTGAAAGGTGCCAAGACGAACTTCTTTACAATTAAATCATAAGGATATCATCATCATCATCTAACTCTTCAAGCTTTATCAATATAAAAACTCCTCATACACTATTTTACCAACTTTTACCACTACCCATTCATACCCAATGGGCTCATTAAATTTTATTAATGCATATTATCATTAGTAACCCCTCAAACCATCATTAATGCACATTAACATCTCCTAACTACCTCATAAATACTAATTTTTAGATATTAAATGCTTCTATGGACCAACCACTTTTAAAATTATCAATGTGATATTTCAATACATTAAATCACTCCCATTAGTCTCATTTTAACCAATGGAATCAGACTCATACTCTTATGGATCAAAAATTCATCTCCCAACTCAAACTCTACCATAAATAATCATAAATGAGAGAGAGAGAAGGGAAGAAGGAAGCACTATAATCTTACATTGGGTGTTTGGAAGCTTCAATCTATCCACAATGGAGCCAAATATCATGCCCTAGCAGAGCCAAAACTAAGCTCTTTGTTTTCCTCCTCTCTTCCTCTTCTGTTTTTACGCAGCTCATGAATTAGATTTATTAGATTTTTGGCCGTGCGCCGTGATGCATGTTGCCTTCCGCCATGGCACATGGCATAGAGGAGCCCATTACATTCAAATTGTGTTCATGCATTGCGGTGGACTAACCACATGCTATGGCGTGTGGCACAGAACACAACTCTTCACTTTTTCATCCCCTTTCCTTGTCTGGGTGGCCTGCCATCAATTCAGACCCACTTCTAGGACTGAAATCACAACAGTTATGCTAAGTTGAGCCCCTCTGGCCACACACCTCATTAACTCACTAACTACCCTAGTTAAATTAACAAATTAGGGTTAAAATTTTCTGAATGTTACAACTAGAGTCTAGAGAAACTTTCTCCAAAGCAAAGCAAATCAAGCACGGTAATGCATCTTCTTCATCTTCTTTCTTTCTTCAAACTAGAAGCAATAGACCGTGATGAGCACTTGAATGAGAAAGAAATGGCAATGCAAATGCATAACTGAGAACTCCAAGGGTGAGACAAGGAGGCAAGCATGAAGATTCTGAACTACTAAAGTGAAGGGAAGTAGCAGTAGCGTTACTAGAGGACAGCAACACTAGCATTGCCGGTGAGGTGGTGTTCTTTAAACAAAGTGAACAATGAGGGACAGAGATTTAACAGCAATATTTTTAAGGGACAAAGCAGCGAGAGTCAAAGAGGATTTGGATTTCTAAAATTAAGAGGCTAGGGATCGATTTCAACTCTAAATAGTGAAGACATTTCAAATTTTTTTAAAACTTAACCAACCCAATGAGTTACGTGGATTAAACTTAAGGTAACTGGATTAATTTAATAGTATGTTAGTACTTAAATTGAACTGGATTACTTATCAGTCCACTGATTGAACCATCTGGTTCGATTCAATTTTTCATTTCATGAGTTCTTTACATGGTAGTATGATGAAATGAAATTGGAGAGCACTTTTGGAATTACACTTTTCATATATAATATTGTTCACCAACATTTAAAAGGTTGTGGTTAATGATAAAATGTTAAAATATACAAATTTTATATAAGTTTGAGACAATTGTATAAAATTTTTATTTTAAAATTAACCTTAATTTTTTTGTCACAAAAAATCTCTCTCAATTGTTATTTCCCAATTATTTGACTAATATAAATTATAATACCATATTAAAAAACATATAACAGTTGTTTGTTAATAAAAAAGAAATTGATTTTCAGTGTAAATTAATAACAATAACTTTGTAAGATTTGATTAATATAAATTGTTATGTTTTTTTTAAATATAACATCAAATTTTTTACTTATAGGATAAAAGAGTTTAGAAAATTAATTTAAAATTTTTAAAGATGAGGAGGTAATTTTAAAACTTAAAAAAATTTTGTGCAGTCCGGACACCAATAAAATAAAATGAACCCTGTTAATATTGCAGGAGAGTCGGAGACTACACCCATATATATAGACATGGTCATTCACATCATCAAAACCCAAAACCCTAGGGCAAACTAATTGAGCCTGCGAGCATGGACTTGCAGCAGAGCGATTTCGACCGCCTTTTGTTCTTTGAGCATGCCCGTAAGACCGCCGAAGCTACATACGCCGGTGACCCTCTCGATGCCGATGTTGGTCTTTCTTTTTTCTCATTAGAGTATCGCAAATTTTCCTTTCTCCATTCCCGGATCGAACTAATTCATATTTTCTGAAGCTCCTCTGCTACGTGAAATGTTCACGGAAGCTCAAAAGTCTTGTAATCTTTTGTAAATTGTGTTTCATGATAAAATATTTCCGCTTTGTTTGATACCAAATGATCTGTTCAGCTTGTGGTTTAGGTCGTCGCATAGTAGAATGTCTGTATTGTATGTTGTTCCGCGTAATGTTGAAAATCATCTGCAATTTTATTGTTCGTTTAAGTACCAGTTTTGGAATTCTGGGTTAGGAAAAAAAAATAACTTTTTGTCTGATCAACGCAGAATTTGACAAGATGGGGAGGCGCTTTATTAGAGTTATCTCAGTTTCAGAGTATTCCTGAGTCAAAGAAGATGATCCAAGGTGCAAACTATATGCCAAAGTTTTTAATTTGCGGAACAAGTTTTTTAATTTTTTTATTTGTTTCAAGAAGTGACACGCATTTTTCTCAGCCTGGACTTTTGACAATTTAACTCTGTTAGACTGAGGAGGCTCATTCGTTGCCCATTGTTTTTAAGTTCTTGAATATCTTTTTAAATGTCAAGTAATTGCTGATAAACCTCCGATTTTGTATCCTCATCCTGGGACTTGATTTGAAGATGCTATTTCAAAGCTCGAGGAGGCATTGGTGGTTAATCCCAAGAAGCACGATACTCTTTGGTGCCTGGGAAATGCCTATACATCCGATGCATTTGTAAATCCAGATCAGGAGGCGGCAAAAATTTGTTTTGACAAGGCATCTGTGTACTTTCAGCGAGCTGTTGAAGAGGTACATTTTCAGTCTTTATGGTGTTCATACTTATCTGTGTATGTAAACTATATTGCTTATTGATGTAATGTACAAAGTAGTAATCTTGATTTTTATAGGATCCAGAAAATGAACTATACCGGAAATCTTTAGAGGTGGCTGCTAAGGTATGTTATGTATCATACATCTTCTGTATTGTTGTCTTTCCCCAGATGTAATTGTATCTTTTCTTTTGTCCTCCTATTTATGGCAAGTATAACACGGATAGATGTTTGTTATTTGGTTATCTATTTTTTTAAGAAGAAAACTGAAAGCTAGGTGGAGTGGCTTAACCATCATTACGATTTTCAAATATTAGTTAATGGTAAATGATAAGTATTATATCATATATGTGGCATGTACAACATTGAATATGGAGTCTTCCAAATAATTAGTTGTCAATTGTGTTTTTTAACTCTTATTAAACCATGTTGCTGTGAAATTATGTAAAGTGGATCTTACATCAGCAGTAGTTATGGTGATATGAGAGAACATGTTTTGATCTAAATGGATTGTAATAACCAGGCTCAATCTGACTATGGATTGTTCCATATGAATTCCAAACAATTTAATCAACTTGTTAAGATTCTCTGTTTTCAACATGTATTTTCTACTCATGGACAACATATAAACATGGTAATTGATGGATTCTGTTGGAATATTATTTGTCATGTTCATCTTCAATTATTCACTAGACCGCTTTGATTACTGACACTTTTTTTGGTGTAAGGCACCTGAGCTGCATGCAGAAATACATAAGCATGGATTTGCACAGAAGGCAACGGGGGCAGCTGGACCTTCTACTTCATCAAGTACAAAGGTATGACTTAAAACTTCGTGTCTTCTGGTATTGTTTTGCATTGGGTTTTTTAGTTGATGTTTCAGATGTATGATTATTTTTTCTCTTGACTTCTGAGTTGTACGAGTTCATCTGCTAGTGAATTGGTTTTGCACTGAGATATAATTGGAGTTGAAACGGCTGTTTATAGAATAATATTCTCTACTTGCTTGCACACAATCACTGGATTTTCCTGAGGAGATAAGGGATATTTTTTAAATGGAATTTATTTCCTCTTTTCTTGAGAAATGATTTGTAAGTGGACATGTTTTCTTCCTTGTAGAATAACTGCATTTTTTATTTTGGTGAAGAATGAAGTGCGATTTGTTTAGTATACAGAATGGAATGGAATGAAATGAAATAAAAAGAATATATACTTTTGAGTAATTATTAGAGACATAATAGACATTGCTGATGAAGAAAGGAAATCAATCCCTTTTCTTCATCCCTTCTAAAACGTGGGCTAATAAATATGCTTTCAGATTAAGTGTTTCAACCAAATAGTGGACAGAATTTGGTTTTATTTGTTCACTTCACCCCGTCACCCCTTTTTCAGTTAACTTCTTGATTTATGGACTTCGGTAGTAGGTTCAACCAGGACTGAATACGTAAAATCTTTTCCTTTTATGCTACTTCATATTTGGCCTTGAAATAGATTGGGTTGACATCTGGGTTGATTCAAAACCAGTTATGGAAAGCTACTTTCCCTTTTTAAATGGATAAAATTTCTTTCTTTTAAGAGAAATAGTCGTGTTTTATTTAGGCATCTCCTCTGATAAAGTTTCATTTCTAGAGGCATGTGTTTTTTACTTTTAAAAAATAAAAGCAAATGAAAGATGGGTGATTGGAGTTAGAAAGTTGAGTTGTATTTTGCTTCCCTAATCTATTTCGTTGCTTGCAGACTCAAAAGAGAAAGAAGAGCAGTGATCTGAAGTATGACATTCTTGGCTGGGTAATTCTGGCTGTTGGCATTGTTGCATGGGTGGGATTTTCAAAATCGCATCTACCGCCTCCTCCTCCACCTCCTCGATAAGTGCGGCCGGTGATTTGCTACTTGCTTCTTCGTCGACTAAACTTTAGTGCCAGCAGCTGATGTCTTGATGATTATTGAGAATCACAACGTATTACTTAAAATTTTGACAGCAGTGATGCATATCGCTCTGTAACCTTGTATTTGTTGACATAAGAAATCTTTTCTTTAAGTTGATTGGGTTGACAATTCATTATGTCAAAGCTGAGAGTGCGGCATCCTTCACTGTCGTCATTGAAATAAAACTATAAGAAATACCAGAAGCACCGCGTCTGCCATCATCTATCAAGTTAGAATGAATTTTATTTTGAAAGAAAATAAGGTCCTAATTTAAGCGTTCTTACTTCATTCGAAGTATCAGACGTTGCTATATTATGGTTTTGCGTGCTCGTGTTTTAAGCGCTATTAGTGATGATTAGTGATTTCTGATAGCGATCGACGATGGTGATTCAATGAGCTTAATTTGAGCTTTTCTCCATTTTGAAGTGTTTCCTATGTGCTGTTTAAGGAGCCAGCTCCCATGAATTGACCCAGTCTAATGTGGTATTAAAAATTATGAGATCTTCTGTTACAAATGGGAAAACGTTTAAAAATAATCCGGGTCGATCAAGCCCAGTGTAATTAGCGGCCGAGCCTGGCGAAACGATGTCGTTAAAAGATGATTGGACAATTCATCGCTCTTAGCTCATACCCGATGTTTCCGAAAGCCGTTTATGGTTGCTTCGTAGTCTCCAGCCCCTGCTAATAATGGGAGCAAAAGTCCCGCTGCGTCTCGAAATTTCTCAATTTTACAGGTTTTCTGAACAATAATAATTTGCAAATGCTTTCCGGACAAAAGCTATGCGGTTGTGACTCCCTGATTCTTCGCACATTCTGTCACCCTTATACAATGGCCACCGATATATTGCTTCCGACCCATTTCCCCGTTCGCCTACCCAAAACCCGCAAATTCTCAGTTCTATCTATGGCTGTTAAGCGGAGTCCTAAGCGTCTCAAGTATACAGCTCCTCGCTTTACCAAGGTCTTTTCATCACTTTTTACTTGTTACTCGTCTATTACTACCCTGCCTTCATCTTCCCTCCATTTTATTCTTATGTTATGCTGTCGGGTTGGTACCTATTTATTTCTTCCTGATTGGATGAAGCCATGAGCAATTTCTGTTTTCCGTTTATGATGGAGGCGAACAATATTGTTTTGGGTTATGACATTTCTCTGCTGGGAATGCAAATATTCGTCCCTTTTCATATTTCTGTATTTTTCTGCGTGATTGCTATTATGAGTAGGTGCAATCTCCGTTTACTGGCATGCACCAACTCTTCTCTTTTGTATTATATCATCCACTTTTCAATACAGTTGACCTTATCTGGCACCGTTTTGGTAATGCCAGGAGGATGGTTTGCTTTACGTTGAGGCGGATATGTCTGGTTCTGACAGCTGGAAGTTAGATTCTGTGGTCAATCTCTTAAAAGAAGGAGCTGTTGGAGTCATTCCCACGGATACACTGTTAGGTTTCTTATCTTATTCAGGCCCCTGTGCTTTTGACCTTCTAAATTTTATGTAGCAATTCTCGTCCAGGCTTGTATGGTTTGTTCTCTTTCTCAAACTCTTTTTATAATTGTGTTGATGCAGTCTTGCATTTCGTGTCCAATGTTCCTCATCCTACAAGCCTTGTAATTACCCTCTAAGAAAAGTATTGATTTTGGATATGTCTGCTCAAAGCGTTCAGATTCTCTTCTGAGCTACTGGAGCAATCTGAGCAGAGAGTCTGAATGCAATTAAAAGATTTCTGCTTGTGTTTCTTATTTCTATATCTTCTTTCTATTTCATCTGGTTTGTACCAGGAATTGTTTCTATTATAATTTTTGATCATACACTTCTCTTGGGAAGTACGAGACACTGCTTGGTTAAGCCAATTATCTATATATGTGATCTACATAGCAGATTTCGGTTCTCAAGATTGAAAATGTTTAAGGATGTTAAATTATCAGCTTTCACTTTTCACATTTTTCATGTATAAATATAATGTAAACAAATTTGTGAGTATCAATACACAATTTGCTTGCCCGTAGGCCCAATCTCATTTGTTTTGGAAGCCTTAGGTTCCCCCCTCTCTCCAAAGAAAAATAAAAGATAGTGGTATGACTGCTTAAAATTCTTTTCTCTATGTAGGTATGCTATAGTATGTGACTTGAGAAGCCATTCAGCCATTGAGCGTCTCCGTAGGTAGGTGATTTTTGTTAATACATGGACTTTTTGCCCCAAAATAATTCTTTGTTCATCTCATTTACAAAGGATCTAGTTTTTCATTGCAGAATCAAGAAGATAGAAGCTTCAAAGGTGAGGAATGTAACTTTATTAGTATTCAATCTTGTTAAGTGGGCTTAAATTGCTGAACTTTTGACATTATGGTGTATGTCAAGAACTTAGCCCTACACCAGGCTTCTTATTACACATGTATGCTGTGATTTAGCTTCTTATTTGTAATATTTATGGTGCTTTTATAAATGCAGCCTCTTAGCATCTTATGCCACTCACTTCGAGACATAGACAAGTATACTATTGGATTTCCACGTGGAGATGGTCAAGGTCATATAAATATATTCAAAGCTATTAAGCCTTACTTACCTGGTCCAGTGAGTATGCTCTTCGGATATTTCTATGATTTCTATTTAGACAAAAAAGGCTGTTAGCTGTTGGTATCATGTATCCCATGTTGACCACATGGATATATTTATGATCTAGAAAGCAAGGATTTCTTTAGAACCACCTTTTGTCTGAGTTTTTCAATTAATTGGTTTGGTTTCTGATGCAAAAGTTCTGCGTTGAACTATTTTGCTTCACAAGGGTTAAATCCCGCTGATAAACACAAAGGGACAAAAAAGTAATGAATTTATGGAAGTGATGAGAGAAGGAAAATTGAAAGGTTTAATCGGCTATTTTTTTAGTGTGTTGGTAATGCCGTTAGTGAGCATAAAATGCCTTTTTACTTGTTGTAATCAAGTTGGTTCTCCAAACTTGAGTTGAGATGTAGAAAGCATGTATTTCCATGTTGATTTAGACAAGCTGAATACCTTGTCAACAGCTATCATGTATATTCATTTTAGCTATTATGTATGGAAATGAAATTAGATGATCAGATTATATCTCAAGTAAAAAAGTTTAGATATTTGGAAGCGATTATTCAATATAATGGGAAAATTGATAGAAATATTGCACTTAGAATACCTGTTGGGTGGTTTAACTAAAGAAAGGTTAAAGAAGTTGTTTGCGATTGTAAAATACCTAATAAACCTAAAGAGAAGTTTTATAGAATTGCTATAAGACTAGCAATATTGTATGGGAGTGAATGTTGGGTTTTAACGGGACGCCAAAAACATGAAGTTGGAGTAGCATAGATGAGAATGTTGAGATGAATGTGTGGACATACACGTAAAGATAAAATTCAAAATGTTCGCGTACGGGGAAAAGTGAGTGTTGCACCTATTAAAGAAAAAATAGTAAAAAATCATTTGAGAGGATTTGGACATGTATAAAAAAAATTACGGGAGGTACCTGTGAGAAGAGTGGAACTGATAACTTTGAACCCTGTTAATAGGGGTAGAGGAAGGCCAAAGAGACACTTCTGGAAGTTGTTGATTAAGACTTCTTAATTTATAATATTTCTAAAAGTTTAGTAAATGATAGAGACCAATAGCGTCGTATAATCCATATAGCCGATCCCACCTAATGAGATAAAACTTATTGTTGTTGTTGTATGCTTTAAGCTTCAATAAGTGGGATTGGGTGTATTTTGGGAAATCATTTTAAAGGATACAGCAACAGCAACAACAAGCTTTTTCCCACTTGGTGGGGTAGTCTATATGAATTGGACTATACCATTATGCTCTATAACAGCAAGCTTTAAAGGATATTGATATAAGAAAAACATATTGGAACAGGCAAGTATTGTTTTGCAGCACTAATTGAAATGAAAGGTAATGTTATTCTCCTTCCATCAATATCTAGCACAAAGATGATAAATGAGCTTTCATTTCAGTTACATCCTATTACAATGTAGATTTTAGGTAAAAGGATGTTTCTTGATTGATGTTAATTTATTTTCAGTTTGTAACAGAAGCATATATATCAAGGCATCGATTTATTGTCACACGTTTATGTTTCATTTTTTAAGCATCTCCTCATCTCTTTGTGGGTGGCAACATTTCATTTTTTATTTGTTATGCCACCAATTTAGTATTTTCAGCTTATCTTTGTTAACATCAGTTATTTTTGAGTCACAGTACACTTTCATCTTAATAGCAAGTAAAGAATTACCTAAACAATGCACAAGGTATGGTACTACTGCTGCCAAATATGCATCAAGAAAAAATGTGGGTGTCCGTATGCCTGATGATGCAATTTGTCAAGCGATACTGGAGAAGATGGATGCGCCCTTAATATGTACAAGGTTTGTTTAATTGATTTATCTAAATCACCTCTTCCCCTCTCTTTTTCCCGGGTAAACAGAAATTGTTTGCTGGAAAACAGGCATGTAGTTGTCTAAACCAATTCTTATCAGCAAACCGATTGTGACAGCTGATGCTTCCACATTTTAACTCTTACTCTGGATTTTAATCCCTTTTTCAGCATCAAGTTCCGAAATGAGGACGAGTGGATGGTTGATCCTGTTATGATAGCTGATACATATGGACCCGAGGTATGTCAGTTTCTAGTTTCTAATGTGATGTGTTCCTTTTCTTGTTTCTTGTTTCTTGTTTTTCTTTTTTTTTTCGTAGCAATTTTGAATATTATTATAGGCTTTTTCAAATATTTGTTAGACATAGGCCACGTCATGTTTACAGTACACTGCATTTGCTTTAATTTAACTTCTGATGAAGCGGATGTGCGTGCATGAAAATTATCAGTTCAGGCATTCTTAAAAATATATTTCATTAACTACTATTTTGGTCTCCTTGATTCTGCCATAAGAAACTGGCCGTTTTTCAATGAGAATGCGTAACTTGTACAAAATCACAAAATATTTACAAAAAGATTACAGCAGAACAAAAGGCCATTAGAAACTGGCTCTTTGCTACTGTTACGTCTATGCCCCCTTTATTCTTGTACTCTTTCAATAGAGAGAGAATCAAATAAGTAGAAAAGGTAAAACAATACTGCACTTTAACACATCAGTTTCTGGTTGTTTAGGGTCTTGATTTTGTTGTTGATGGTGGTGTGAGAGTTGCTGAACCATCCACTGTGGTTGACATGACAAAAGTTCCTCCAACAGTCATACGACAAGGAAAGGTAATGTACATTCATTTGGCGGCTAATTAGTGAATCAGGCCATGGAAACTTGATGAAGTCTTCTAGGATATCTTGGATGCTCATAGTTTTTAATTCCAATCTTAATATATTAATCTCATATAAGTTGAAGGTAGAGTTGATAATCAAACACAGGAAGTATTTGCTTTGTTATTTTACACGACATTGGGAAGTATGCCATACTCAATACTTTGATATTTGAGAAATATATTATTATTTTCAGGGCCCTGTTTTACCTTGGATGGAGTTGCAAGATGATCAGAAAAGTGAAGGTGAAGACGACCTCATACCTTCTGCCATTTGAAGTTCCACTGTCGAAAAACTCTTGTTCAGTTTTGCCCCAATCCTCCCTGTAAATTTCAACTTCACATCTTAAATTCCTTCGAGAAAACAGGAAGAGATGGAAATGTATGTGACATGGACAAAACAAGTTTCATATCATCTGAAGTAGTTCAATAGTATATGCATATAAAAGTCAAGTGTTGAAGCTCATTTTGCGCGAACCAAGCTTTTTCTTTCAAGATAGAATGTGTCTTCTACTTGCAAGGTTTATACGTGAGTTTATCATTCCAGCTTCCAATTTTATGACGAGAGTTTGCCTTCGATAAAGGTCCAATCGCTGATGTTCTTATCTGAGTCTTTGTATGATTGTTCGAATGCGCACGTACCTTGGTTTGTACTCGCTCTTCTATTATTTGACCTTTTAATCCAAAAATAAATAAATAAAGGACCTGTCTGAAACGACAAGTTGAGGCTATGTTTGGGGTGAAGGTGAAGAGGTTTAGATATTACACTTATTCGCCTTCCCCACCTCGTACTCCACGTGGATTCAGATCTTTTTTTCCCTAGAAAGTTTTTTTTAAAAAAAAAAAAAAAACGTGACTATTGTTACTTCGATTCTTCTGTACTTGAAATCGTGAAGAACAATGCAATTGCTTTTTGTTTCAGATAAAAGCTTGAGATGAACTGGGTGTGCCAGTATTAGCAAATAGCCGGACTTTTGAAATTTATGCTCAACATGATAAGGTTTCCTCAGTACAATTTGTGCACTTGATAGTGTAAATTCCTTTGCTGATTGTTGAGTGACTTGAGAATTGAGATTGTAGTGCTTCTTGTTGGGCGCCTAAAGATGACAGTGGTTGCTACCCTTGCAACCATAAGGGTAACCTTAGCTGTGTTGGCAAGTATGCCTGCGATTGCAACGATTGTGATTGTGGCAATGGCCTCTGCGTCTGCTGTAGTTCCAAGTGTGTTTGAGATTCAGGCGCCCTTGGCAATTCCACATTCATTAAATCTCCACCGATGGCCGTGAAATCCAATTGCCGAGCCAATTCCCACGTTGCTGAATCAGAATTGGTTCCACTTTGCTCCATTAACGATGGATTTGTCTACATCGGATCAGAGAACAACTACTTAGAGCAAGCCTTGAGTGTTTCCTAAACCAAAAAGATGGAAGCTAAAATTTTAGAAGGGTTCAAAGGAGAGGTACGAAGGAGGAAGTCAAACAAGGGGTGCAAGTGCCAATAATGAGGTTGAAGATGGCTGAGGTGGCAGAGGAGAATGCGCAAGCGAAGGTGAGTTTGGAGTGGAGGGAGTGCAACTTGTCAAAATTTAGTGGGCCCTGATAGAAAACTAACGTGCATTCATTCAAAATTTAGGGAGACTTACATGCTCCATTTTTAATAGTTTCCAATTTATTTTATATTATTTTATAATATAAATCATTTAATAGTATTTGAAAAAATAGTTAGTAATTAAATTTGTAATTTTATCTTTAAAATAGTAATCTGTATCTTTTAAAATAATGCTAATTTTATTATTTTATTTTTTAAAATATAGAGATTGATTTTTTAAATAATTAAAACTATAAGAATTAAATTATAATAAGTTAAAATTTAAGATTGAATTACATGAAAGTAAAAGCTATAAGGCCGTGTTTGGTATTTGGGAATCCTAAGGTTGGAAATGGAATCATATAAGGAATTCAGTGTGTTTGGTATGAAATAATCACAATTCTTTAAAATCTTGATTCTATCAAAAGTCCTAGAATTTGATCTCATCATCAACTCCATGGAATTAAGTCATTGTTCATGGAGTCCATTTTTTTCTCCCTCACTATCACCCTCACCAGCACTATTTTAATTTTTGAGAAAACTGTTACTTTGGTCTTTTTTTATTTTTAATACAAATATTTATTAAAATTATATCAAGATTATATTGTCATATTAAATACACTTTTATAATTTAATTCAATTCTGATTTTAATGTCTTTAAAAACTCTTTTATTATATCAAATATAGTTTAAGAATTAAATTATATTAAGTTAAAATTTAAATATTGAATTATGATTTAGATAAAATTATATAAAGAAAGCCTCTACAATTAAAAAAGTGGTTAAATATTGAATTCCAGGATTTTTTATTTTTTTTTAAATGAGTGACAACTGATACAGAGAGACCAATTTCCACTGAGAAGAGCATCTCGATAGAAGGATTTGTCATTTTCATTCATGGCATCTCCTCAGGTCCGTGGTACTGGAATGCTATCAAAAGAACAGCTTCTCCATCTTTTCGATCGCTTCTGTTTCCTTACTTCCCAACCTGGTACCTCATCTCCGATTTCTCATTCTCTGTAATTATCCTCCTATTTTCATCCTTGTAATGCTTCTCTGGTTATGGTTGTGTTTGCAGAGGTGAAGAAAAGGATAGCAGACGCTGTACAGGATAAACAGGTGAATTTCTCATGGGATAATTCTTTTTCCCGTTTTCGTTCTTATGCCCATTTGTTCGCTTTAAATTGAGCAGCTTATCTTCTATCTCAGTTACCAATAATGGGAGTTTCGTGATTCGTCATATTAACCCGAAAGAGAAATATTATATGATAGTGCTTGAAATTGGGTTTATCCAGAAGAAATTAGATAGTTATTTCGACTCATGGCTTTGTTACTTACCTTGAATTTTGGGGGCCTGGACTTGTTTCCTCCTAGATGATAGACTCGTGACTCAACTGGGGTATCTAGAACGTTCATATGCATTTCTTTTGCCACTCGGCTTCTGTATTTTTTTTACTGATGACAAGCTGTGAGCAAGGGTCTGATATGGCCATTGTGCTACATGGTTGCTTATCCTGTTAGTTCTAGTTAGCATTTTGTTTTTGTTGGGACTTCACTCACATATACACAATTCTGGGCTGAGTGTAATTTCTGTCTAACATTCTGCCTCTTTTGCTTTTTCAAATTCATGCGATTAACATTATCAGACCAGATAATGTATGTTGCATTTTCACTCATTTTCTGGAATCAATGCCGAATGGACAGGAAGCCGTTGCTGTGACCACTGCAATACAGGAAGAGATATTTTTGGAGATGGGAGTTGGTAGTATTGTGAATTTATGATGTTACTTGGCAGCATTTTAATATCTGTATGCCTTGTTATGCATCCCAAATTGAAGAATTTGTTTATTCCCTCTGTGAGGAAATCATGTGATGCTGCATTTTGATGGGAAATTTGCTTGTTAATGAAGGAGAGAAAAGTGAGTGAGATTATCATCTTAGTTGTCATTTTTTATCTTGGAATGTCAGCTTTTCATTCCTTCTTCTTTTAATTAGAAGGGGGACAAATCATTTACCATTCTTCTGCAGTTCAAGATTGATGTGAAGTTAAGGCCTTTTATTAGTGATACATGAAATTAGCTAATTGTATGCAGAATCTATTATCTCATCTAAAGAGAACAGTGTTTTTATAATTTTATTCTCAGTTAGAAATTGGAAATAGAGCCATATTGTGACCAAATCAATCAAAGACTATTTATTTATTTATTTTTCTTCTAAAACTAGACCCCGGATAGCAAGAGATTGTGTATATATATATATATATATATCTTTTACAATTCCATCAAGCTCTGAGGCTTTATTCTGCACGATGCAACTTGAGTTGAAGTTTTGCTGTGCCATTTTTTGACAACAGATCCGCATTTTGGTATTTCATGCCTGGGTAAAGTGAGCACTCTATATGACAATGACCTGGATTTGGTGATTCAATTTTATAAGTTCATTGCAAAGTAAGTTTTTCTTCTCTATCTATATGCAATATCCACTTTGTTTTATGTCTTGCTACCTCTCGCCCAAATTAATATTAGAACTAGGCATTCAGACAGCTTGACAATGACGGTTCTGAGCCTATGCCTTGTCTAGTTTGATTTGTAATGACCTTTGTAAGAGTTGAATAAGTGGTCTGCCCTAATAATGGAGAATATGAGGAGAATATTAAGATAAATGAACTTTTGAAAAAAAAAATTTTAGGCATAATCAAGGAGAATTGATACCCAGGAAATTGTATGTTATGGAGTTTATTTTTAAACTTCTTTATTTTATCTTTTTTTTTTTTTGGTTATGGTGTCCTTAGATATACCTCTCCCTGGGTGTGTGTTTGTTTCTGGACCTGTTAAAGTCATGTTGGTTATATTATCAGTTTTCTCTCCCAACTTGATCCCTCTCTAATTCTCTCATTATCTCTCTCTTCTTCCTTCTTCTCCCTCCTTTCTCTCTGCTATCTTTCTGTGATATTTGCCATAGAAAATCCGTAGGCATGCTCTACTGATTTCTGCCACCTAGGATAGCTTAGGTGATTTGGGTGGAATATGTGGGTAAAGGTTTAAAGTTCAAAACCTCTTAATATAAAAAGGAAAAAAAGAACAAACCTAGGCCATTTTTTTTTTCATCCCTTACCCAACAAATAACGTTTCTGATAGAACTCCAGTTTGTAAGTCTTTAATTGCTGAAGTGAAAAAGATTGGTAATTCTTCATGGTAAGATGTTTTTATACACTGAAATGGCAGAGAAGAGATAGCCTGTGATGAAGCAGAGCTCAGGCCAGATGAATTTTCAGAAAGAATGCTCAGCCAGCAGAAGTTACAGGAAAAGGTACATATTATTGCTAATCTCCGGAAAAATGTTTTAGTAATTGGGTACAGTATTGACATTAAGATAACGAACTTGTAGCAACTGGAGATGCTGAAGTACATGCGCAAGTTTCCCTTGGATGATCAGTCAGCCATTCTTGAGAAGGTAATCACTACAGTTTCTGAAGTAGTTGAGGGTTTTTTTCAACCATACCATCCATGAGAAAAGTCAGCTGTGGTAATGAATCAATACTTCAAACTCATTAATTTACTAATTTTATTAGTTAATTATTACCTCAGTTGTTGGTTCTACCTATATCCTAAGTGGCTTACAAGCACTGTTTAGAATGGTGAATAAATTCTTTTTAGATTAAAATTCGATTATTGGCATAATAAGTAGCTGAGTAGAAATCTTATATTAACACGTTATCGCTATAAGTTTCTTAAATAAGGTACTCAGCTATTACTAGGCTCACTTTTTTCGTTAAATCATAAATCTCCTTGTTAGTTGATCGATCCAGTTTTTGCTTTATAACTGGTCAGATTCTTATAATTATGTCTACTTTTTCATTTTTCTTTTGTTTGCACCAATAGTTCAGCATCTTGCTTCTCACCGACCAAATGTCCATATAAATTTCTTCTTAGAATGGTTGAATTATTTGCAGATACACCAGCAGATGGAAAATGCCAATTATGAAAGTGAGTCATCCATTTTGTCGACTGAGCAGATCCAAGAGATGAATGTTCAGAGGAAGTCATCTCTATTTACGCCAAGATAGATGTAAAACCATGCCTTGTTATTGTTCCTTCCTCGAATTCTTTTGGGAGATTTATGTAAGGTGCGGCTAACAAATGACAAATGTCGAGTTCACACCCTTAACCAAATTACTTCACTGTTACCTTGTATCTCCTTTAGATTGTTCATGTTTCTTTATTCGATTTCCTTGAATTCACCAAGCATGAACTATGCGTATAAATTAACAGTTTGCTTCACCTTAAGAAGCAATTACCACGTCCTTTGCCCATACTTCTTAACAGCCACATATTGTGAGATCTTCCTGGCTGAGACCGAAGGAACTTCATCATGTCTATGTAGACGACAACCCATTCCCTTCTCTTGTACCTTTTATAGTTCTTTGCATTGTTCTCTCCCCCACCTTCCACAGTCTTAACCTCCGGTTCTCGAGAGTTTTCCGTGGTTTTATACCATGAAAGCTATGCCAATTTCATGATTCACAATTCACATAAATAAATTGTCAAATTATTAACTTTACAAATCACAGTTTAAAACGTTATCCCCAGTTCTCCACTGAATTCACAATTACAATTCACATTATATATTTTACATTTTACAATGAATGAAGAGGGAGGGAGACTAGTTACAAAGGTGGCTTTTTTTTTTTTTTGCAAAAAAAAGAAGATTAAAGAAGAGTCTCAAAAAAGGGAGAAAAACCTAAACAAGGAGACCCAACGAGCCAAACCTTTATTACCCACACTCTACTCATACACGGTCCTTATTGACAAAGAAGGTTCTTGACTTCATCAGTCCAAGGGGCATTTGGCAACCTTGGCTTTGCAACAACCACAAGTGGCTGAACGATAAAGGGATCGCTCTCAGATTCAACTAGTTAAAGTGGTTGAGCAGGAGGAGTACTCCAAGTGAAGCCATGGATCAACCTAGCAAGCATGGTAAAAGAGTCAAGTTTTGCCTAGAACTTGTAAGTCCATTATTGTGCACACTTTTGAAGCCCAAAATGGGACTGGCTCTGATTTTAATAGGGACTTGTATACACCACACCGTTTGAAGCCCGAAAACTAGGCTGGCTCTAAAAAATAGGGATTTGATGTTTAGGGTGTCTTTGATATGGGGAGCTTGTGATTCACACTCAAGTGAAAGATTGTTAAGTTGTCCGAGTATGAGTAGACATAAGACGATGTGAGAATAAAATTAGACTTAGTAACTAATATCAATGTTATTAGAATTGGACCGGCTATTAAATTGATTGAGATACTAGTTCACGGTTCAAAGGTTGGACCAGGGTTAGACTGGGGTCGGACCATTTTGTAATTAAATTAATATACTTAAGATATTATATACCAAAATTATAGATAAAATGATAAACTCAAGGAAACTTATTACTAATATATCTTATTAAATAATTAAATAAATAAATAACAAAGTATTATTAGAAAAGGAATGTACCACTAATTATATTTTCTTATTTATAAGGATTATCCGTTATGGTTTGCAAATTGATTTAATAGATCTATAATGGTAGGCCAAAAATTAGGGCACAATAAATGGAAATCAAAATTCAAAATACTAACAAATACTATGAAGTGAAGATGAATCGTGGCAGCCATACTCATGCACGATTTCATTCATTCATTCATAAGGTTAAACTCCTTCTCCTTCTCCTTCTTCTTCAGATTGAGACAATGCCACTGTGACTAAGGACAAGCAATTGCACGATTAGGATGAAGAGTTGACGACTAAAGGAAATTGAGGAAGATGAGTGGAAGAAACTCGGAGCAGAAGAGAGTCATGACTACAACTGAGATGATGTTGATGAGATTAAGGAAAAGGCCAGAGAACGAGCGTGATGAGATTGAGGGATATGTTTGAACAAGATGAGGGCTTAGGGTTTGGGATCTATCACAAGAGTCGAGCAATTGACGTTTTTGATGCCATTTGGGTGAGTTTTTTGTTTTTGTTTTGATAGAATGAATAAAAAATAAAAAATGACATCATTTTATATGAAATTAGGGAAAAGAAAAAAAAATAAAAGGGAACCATCTGGACCACCAGTTTTCCCGATTCATATTCGGTTTAGATGGTTTGAAGGCAGTTCTCTCTTCCCCTAGTTTCCTAACATTTTTAGACCGGCCACCTGGCTGGTTCCTAGTTCTAAGAACACTGACTAATATATAATAAAAAAAATTACCTATAAACTTGAGCCTTGAGATTTTGAGTTACGATATGGCGTTCTTTCATTGCTCTTGCTCGCCTCTCCTCTCCCCTTGTTCTTGAGTCCCTAACACTACTCTTGGACACTTGCGCTTTCTTGTAGTGAAGGTTATGAGCCTTAAATTTATGTTAGTCAAGAACACATTAGACCTATCCTCACATAGGCATGTGGGACATTGAAATATACAATAGGGTAAAGGCAAAATGCTTTTCTTAAGCAAGCTTTGATGTAGTTGAGTTTTGGGATATCATATTCTTAAACAAGCCTCTCTTTGCCTACTACTTGGTCCAGCTCTTGGGGGGCCTTTTCAAGAATCTCTAGCTGCTTTATCATTTCTGCAAGTGCCCATTTTCTAGCATTTAATGGATTGTCCTCTATTGTAAACATAAGTTACTAAAAAATAAATAAAATTTTGGTTTTAATGATCACTTTTTAAAAATTGATCGGCGAATTTTAGAAACACTGTATAGAATAAAATATGTGGCTCACTAGATAATTTGTCTAGAGCACTATGTAATACCATATATAGAGAAAAGTATACAATTATATGGTGACACCTATCCTGTATAAAAATAAGCTAGAGAGTAATTTACAATAATATATATAAGAATAAAATTATCATTAACTCCCTTTATTACTTTGAACCTCCTGCTTCTTCTTCTTAGTAGAGGCAGTTTGAAATTGATTCAAGTCATATTTTCTTATTAAAGAGACTGTAACACCATATTTATCTCTTAAGTACCAGAATCTTGCATAATGCAAGGGCTTAGTAAAACAATTAGCTATTTGCAGTTCTAAAGGCACATATTGAACAGACGGCATCTTAGAAATAACTTGGTCACGAATAAAGTGTCAATCTCCATGTGCTTAGTTCTTGTATGATGCATAGGGTTAGAAGCTAGTAAAGCAGGCACTTGTATTATCACACCAATTATGGGAATATTTTTTTTATCTTAAAGCTTAATTCATATAACAATGATCTAATCCAACACAGTTCTGCAACAATATTGGCCAGGGAATGGTACTTAGACTCGGTGCTAGAACAGGCTACAACCTTTTGTTTCTTAGATGACCATGAAACTAAAGAATCTCCCAAAAAAACACAATAACCCTCAATAAATTGTCTATCATCAGGGCATGAGGCTCAATCAGCATCTGAGTAAGCAATTAAGTCAAGTATATAAGATGGTTTAATATGAATTCCATAATGCATTGTTCCTCTAAGGTACCTCAAGACACGTTTTACAACCTTTCAATGTTTAGATGTTGGAGTTGAAAGATATTGACTCAATTTACCAACACTAAAACTGATATCTGGACGTGTGTTGCACAAATATTGCAAGGCTCCCATAGCACTTTGATATATAGATGGATCTAACAAGGGCTCCCCTGCATGTACAGATAATGACTTATGGGTTGCCATTGGTGTTTTACAAGGAGATGCAGAGGTCATGTACATTTTAAAATATCTCCAGCATACTTGGCTTGGCTTAAATACAAGCCAGTTTTGTCCCTATAGGCTTGTATACCCAAAAAGTAATGAATGGATCCTAAGTCCTTAAAAGAGAAAATTTTATAAAGCCTTTGTGCAAATAGAGTAAGGCTGTAGGAGTTGCTTCCAATCACTAAAATGTCATCCATATAAATCAGAATTAGAAGAATTTGGGTTTTATCTAAGTAGATAAACAAAGAGGTATCACTCTTGCAGTTTATGAAACCCCAATTAAGAAGTGTATTTTTAAGTACCTTAAACCATGCTTGAGATGCCTATTTCAAACCATACAATGCCTTGGAGAGTTTACAAACATAATCAGGTTTTGAAACATCAATAAAGCCCTCAGGTTGCTCCATATAAACAGGTTCAGTTAAACACTATTCAAGAACACATTATTTATATCCAGTTGCTTAATGTTCCAATTGAAAGAGATAGCCAAAGCAAGAATTACTCTAATTGTGAAAGCTTTAATGACATGATTGAAAGTTTCACAAAAATCAATACCTTCAATTTGTTGAAAACCCTTAACTACAAGTCTGGATTTTCATTTTACAAGTGAACCATCAGCATGAAATTTAGACCTAAAAATCCATTTATTTCTAACTACATTCTGATTTGAAGTCCTCAATACTAGTATTCATATGGAGTTTATTTAAAGGGCTTGAAACTTTTTCAATATAGCCTGCTTCTATTGTGGTAATTTTAATGTCTTCGTAACAATATATGGTTCTGCACTAGAGTCTACTTGAGAAGAATTTCCATGAGTTAAACCCACATTAGGGGTTTTAGGTTTAAAAATACCTCTCTTGCTACAAGTTTGCATCGGATGGATATTAGTGGGAGGTTGAACAACATCTAAAGAGGCTGTAAAAACAATCTATAAATGGTCAACTAATGCAGTTAGATTGGAAGTAAACAAAGGCAGACTTGGATCGATGACAGTAGGAGATGAGACATTAAGAGATGGAGCATTTTCATCAAGCTCAGAATCATATGCACCAGCAGATGAAGAGTTGTTCTGAAGAACAGGTTGAGGATTTACCAACAAATGCTACACGTGTACTATTTTTAGTTGGAGAGATGGAATTATCAGATACTGTTGTCATTTGTGGTAAAATAGCAACAGTAGCAAAACTTACAGTGTTATCTTCATTCGAACCCCACATTTGAAATGGTAAACTTTTAAAAGGTTGAATACCTTCCTCTTATTGGGGCTACTTTAAATTCATAAATCCATTAACAAAAGGAAAATCAGCTTCATTAAAAACAAAATGCCTTGAAATATAAACTTTCCTAATAGAACTAAGGCATTTATAGCCCTTATGAACCTACTATAACCTAGAAAATCACATTTAACATTGTGAAATTGAAATTTATTCTGATTGTATGGTTTCAAGCAAGGACAACAAGTACATCTAAATATTTTGAGAGCTGTATATGCAAGGACCTTATTGTATAATTTCTAAAAAGGAGATTGATTATTGAGAACTGGGGTAGGCAACCAATTAATTAGATAGATGGTTGTAGAGAAAGCTTCCCATTAGTAGC